CATTCACTTCCATTATTTAAAAAGTATTTGTTGTCTGCCCTTGTTTACATTGTCATTGAGTTTTGATTATAAAGTAATATTAATGTAGCCTACTGATGACATTTGGAAACTACAAACTGTTAGTCTGTATCGATAGCATAATGAAGGATAGAAGTGCTGTGACTTCAACACAAAAATAAAACTCTGCTCTAACGAATCTTTAAACATGCCTGAACATCAACACCTAATTCCATCCAAGGGTTCACCAGGTGGGAAATGAATGGTTGGTGCAGATTGCCAAGTGTAGGTTGGACACCACCAATAGCTGTAACTTTGACTGTGGTGCCAAGCTGTGCCGATACTCATGGGTGTGGTGCTTGTCAGTTTTGTCTACACCAGTGTATTTTGACAATTATGTTTAGTGGCCTGGCTTAACACCATACATTCTGACAATTTAATTAAACCGTCTTGGTATTTTCCCAGGCTATTGTTACGGCTATTGTTCTTCAAAATGGAGTATGTTTAATCAACTGCCCTAAATAAATAAGAATCATTAGACAAATAAGACTTATCAGTTGGTTATCTACAACTCTGGCAAGTAGGTTCACTATTTTCAATAATTGGGAGAGGGCTTTTCAAAACACTCAGTGAAGGCTGAAGGCTGAAATGGAATGTTATTAATTTGGATGTAATTACTCCAGTCTGAACTCTTTCTCTCACGCATGCCTCATAAAATCTGATTGTTTTTCTTGCTGTGATGATACCAGTCAAGTTGTTGTCTATCTCACTGTGATGATAGTGAAGCACATGGGGATGTGTGAAACTTACTCCTCAGCTGAACTTGCGCCAGCGAATAGTTAGCTTTTCGCGTGGCACTGACTGGTAAGATTCTTCAGGAGGACGTCACATGTGCTAGCAAGTCAGAGGTTCTGAGTTCGCGCCAGTTATGGGCCGAATCGGGAGGAAGTGGTACTCACTAAGCAAGCATTGTGATCCTTTACAATAGCGTGTGATCCTTTACAATAGCGTGTGATCCTTCATAATAGCGTGTGATATTTTACCATAACGTGTGATCCTTTACAATAGCGTGTGATCCTTTATAATAGTTATTGTCTATCTCACCTTGATGATAGCAGTCCAGTTGTTTCACTGAGGCTTTGTTAGAAATGTGTCACAGGCTTGAGAGAGAGTGAATAATACAGTACAGAATGATCTCTTCATGAACATCTTGAGGGTCAAAAGGGTGAAGGGTCGTCACAGTACAGACAGACAGGTGTGGAAAGAGCCATAATTATTGATTCAACCAGTTACCATAGCATGGTGACTCAGCTGTCTAGCTTGCTCTGGGTCTGGTGTGGAGATCACAGTTTGTCATGGATGTTGGTATTATGATGAATGTAGTGATCACCATGGTGAAATCAGTCATTGTATTTATCAAATGTTATTATTGAGCATATTGTTATTATTACAACAACAGATCCCCGGTGCCTAGTCTGGCAGCCCCCCGCACCTCAAACATACTAAAATAATACTACAATGTATATGTACAGTGCCTTCGGAAAGTATTCAGACCCCTAGACTTTTTCCACATTTTGTTACATTACAGCCTTATTCTAAAATTGATTAAATTGTTGTTTTTTCTCACCCATCTACACACAATACCTCATAATGACAAAGTGAAAACATTTTAGAAATATCTCATTTACATACACTACTAGTCAAAAGTTTGGACACACCTATTCATTCAAGGGATTTTCTTTATTTCTACTATTTTTTACATTGTAGAATAATAGTGAAGACATCAAAACTATGAAATAACACATATGGAATCATGTAGTAACCAAAACATTTTTAAACAGATCATATTCCGTTTCTTTTTTATCCTAAAAACTCCCTAGTCAATGCTGAAGACAAGCATACCCATAACATGATGCAACCAGCACCATGCTTGAAAATATGAAGAGTGGTACTCAGTGATGTGTTGTGTTGGATTTTCCCCAAACCTAATGCTTTGTACTCAGGATATAACATTTATTTATTTGCCACATTTTTTGCAGTTTGACTTTTGTGCTTTATTGCAAACAGTATGATGTTTTGGAAACAAACAAAAGGGTGAAGGGTCGTCACAGTACAGACAGACAGGTGTGGAAAGAGCCATAATTATTGATTCAACCAGTTACCATAGCATGGTGACTCAGCTGTCTAGCTTGCTCTGGGTCTTGTGTGGAGATCACAGTTTGTCATGGATGTTGGTATTATGATAAATGTAGTGATCACCAAGGTGAATTCAGTAATTGTATTTATCAAATGTTATTATTGAGCATATTATTACAACAACAGATCACCGGCGCCTAGTGTGGTGCCCCCCGCACCTCATAAAGAATACAGAAAGAATACAAAAATGTATATGTACAGTGCCTTCAGAAAGCCCCTTGACTTATTCCACATTTTGTTGTTACAGCCTGAATTTAAAATGGATTTAATAGATTTGTTTTCTCACCCATCTACACACAATACCCCATAATGACAAAGTGAAAACATGTTTTTAGAAATATCTAATTTACATACATACTCACACCCCTGGGTCGAAACATGTTAGAACCACCTTTGGCAGCGATTACAGCTGTGAGTCTTTCTGGGTAAGTCTCAAAGAGCTTTGCACACTTGGATTGTACAATATTTGCACATTATTATTTTATCAATTCTTCAAGCTCTGTCAAATTGGTTGTTGATCATTGCTAGACAGCCATTTTCAAGTCTTGCCATAGATTTTTGAGCCGGTTTAAGTCAAAACTGTAACTAGGCCACTCAGGAACATTCAATATCATCTTGGTAAGCAACTCCAGTGTATATTTGGACTTTTCGGTTATTGTCCTGCTGAAAGGTGAATTTGCCTCCCAGTGTCTGTTGGATAGCAGACTGGACCAGGTTTTCCTCTAGGATTTTGCCTGTGCTTATCTCTATTTCATTTATTTTTATCCTAAAAAAACTCCCTAGTCCATGCCGGTGACAAGCATACCTATAACATGATGCAACCACCACCATGCTTGAAAATATGAAGAGTGGTACTCAGTGATGTGTTGTGTTGGATTTTCCCCAAACCTAACGCTTTGTACTCAGGACATAAAGTTAATTTCTTTGGCACATTTTTTTGCAGTTTTACTTTAGTGCCTTATTGCAAACAGGATGCATGTTTAAAAAAATAAATAATAATAATATATACATATATATATATAGATATATATCTACAAGCTTCCTTCTTTTCAATCTGTCATTTAGGTTAGTATTGTGGAGTAATTAAATTGTTGTTGATCCATCCTCAGTTTTTTCCTTTCACAGCCATTAAACTCATTAAAATCATGGTGAAATCACTGAGCAGTTTCCTTCCTCTCCGGAAGGGTGCCTGTATCTTTGTAGTGACTGGGCGTATTGATACACCATCCAAAGTGTAAATAATAACTTCATCATGCTCAAAGAGATATTCAATGTCTGCTTTTTATTTTTACGAGGCATTGGAAAACCTCCCTGGTCTTTGTGGTTGAACCTGTGTTTGAAATTGACTGCTCGAATGAGGGACCTTACAGATAATTGTATGTGTCGGGTACAGAGATGAGGTAGTCATTCCAAAACACTTTTATTGCACACAGAGTGAGTCCATGCAACTTATTATGTTACTTGTTAAGCACATTTTTACTCCTGAACTTATTTAGGCTTGCCATAACAAAGGGGTTGAATACTTATTGACTCAAGACATTTCAGCTTTACATTTTTCATTAATTTGTAAACATTTCTATTCCACTTTTCTATTCCACTTTGACATTATGGGGTATTGTGTGTAGGCCAGTGACACACAGTCTCAATTAAATCAATTTTAAATGCATGCCGTAACATAACAAAATGGGGAAAAAGTCAAGTGGTGTGAATACTTTCTGAAGGCACTGTATGTCTTTCGGAGAGGTTGGGTTAAAAGCAGAAGTCAAATTTCGGTTGGACCTTGTATGCAATTGACCAATAAAGTGATCTTAATCTTAACATTTTATTATTGCATTATTATAGGCCTACAACTAAAGGGCCATTCAAGCTCTCCATTTAACTACTGAACATTTGTTTCTTAAAAAAAAAAAAAAAATGATACTCTTTTTTTTTGGCACACAAGAAAATACAAAACAATAGACCTATGACCATCAGATTTTAACCTTTTACTGCAGTGGGCTAAATCAGGGTCACACGTAGTGTTTCTTTGTAGTCTTAAACAAATCTACTTTGAAACAAAAGTATACACCTCAAACACATGGTTATGGGCTTAAAAGAAGACACCTGTACCATGTCTGATATAGAGTTGAAATGTATTACATTTTCAGTTTGCATCCCAATATTACACTTTACATACATCACAGGAGACTGAATTATAACAAAACCGTTTGACTCGCCAGCTTTTTTGAAATAATGTTTATTAATTCTGAAATTCTGAAAAATATGAATAACATTCCACCCATGAGGCCACTGGGTCATTTTACTGCAGGAAAGGGAACAAAACCGAAAAGAGCATGTGCTGGAGAGGTAGACAATCCCAAAGGAATTTGAAAGGATTTAGCAGCTCCCTCAATGGTTACATGACATGAGCTCAGCTGGAATGTCTCAGGAGAAGTAGGCTATAATATAATAATATGCCATTTAGCAGACGCTTTTATCCAAAGCGACTTACAGTCATGCGTGCATACATTTTTGTGTATGGGTGGTCCCGGGGATCGAACCCACTACCTTGGCGTTACAAGCGCCGTGCTCTACCAGCTGAGCTACAGAGGACCACAAGGGCTACATGTCAGAGCAGGCTCTTTGATGGGTTTGAGCATTTCATATTTTGAGTCATTTATATTTTATAGTCTTCTACAGAATCATTGGACAATAGCTGCACAGGAAGTCCAATAATTACTAGTAATATGAACATTCCCATCAGACACACCAGACACAGACAACTGTGTATTTTATTCATAATGGGCGTGGTTCATTGTTCAGGGCAGGGCGAGGTGCGCATTTCATATTTGATTGCCTGTACAAACGCCACCTGTACGGAGCAAGGTACAGTAGGCTACGAACCATCACACTTTGGATTTACAACTGGAAACAGACCATGATGACAATGGACCCGTTGAAATCGGCCATGTCCATCGGGAATGTGGAGGAGACATCTCTTGCTTTGCCATCCGATAACAAACTTCGGTCCAAACAGCAGCGGGTCTTGGATCAGGTGCAAACCATCAAGAGGGGCAAGTCGAAGTACAGTAAAAATGGAACTTTATCGTCGCCAACGAAATCACCAACAAGTAAGCATCATTATTAAAATAAAATCATATTCAGTTATTTGTATGCTATTTTATTTGACCTAAAGCCTAATCAGGTTATGGTTTAATATGGTTTGACTCACCCCCATCCGATTTGCATTGTTGTTAATGATTTATTCATTAGTAAATGAATAACCCCATACATTAGATATCAGCAACTCCACTGTTGTAAAGTCTGTTAAGTAAACAAAGTGCAACATGTGTTATTTTAATATCAAGTAAACATAGGCTAAGGGACAGTCCATGATCTCATAATTATGTTTAGGCCTATTGATGCCCAAAATATACATTTGTTTGTCACCACTCAGTCCTGTTCTAAATGTTCAAAACCAAATGTAATCAACTGCCATAACGAGGTTAGAATCATTAGACAAACAGGACTTATCAGTTGGTTATCCACCACTCTGGTAAAAAATAATGTAGGTAATAAGAAGCCTACATTGGAAATCTTACTCAATTGTGTTTCTCATACACCACCGTTCAAAAGTTTGGGGTCACTTCGAAATGTCCTTGTTTTCGAAAGAAAATTGATTTTTTGGTCCATTAAAATAACATCAAATTGATCAGAAATACAGTGTAGACATTGTTAACGTTGTAAATGGCTATTGTAGCTGGAAACGGCTGATTTTTAATGGAACATCTACATAGGCGTACAGAGGCCCATTATCAGCAACCATCAGTCCTGTGTTCCAATGGCACGTTGTGTTTTCTAATCCAAGTTTATCATTTTAAAAGGCTAATTGATTATTAGAAAACCCTTTTGCAACTATGCTAGCACAGCTGAAAACTATTGTGCTGATTAAATAAGCAATAGAACTGGCCTTCTTGAGACTAGTTGAGTATCTGGAGCATCAGCAATTGTGGGTTCGATTACAGGCTCAAAATGGCAACAAACAAATAACTTTCTTCTGAAACTCGTCAGTCTATTCTTGTTCTGAGAAATGAAGGCTATTCCATGCGAGAAATTGCCAAGAAACTGAAGATCTCGTACAACGCTGTGTACTACTCCCTTCACAGAACAGCGCAAACTGGCTCTAACCAGAATAGAAAGAGGAGTGGGAGGCCACGGTGCACAACTGAGCAAGAGGACAAATACATTAGAGTGTCTAGTTTGAGAAACAGACACCTCACAGGTCCTCAACTGGCAGCTTCATTAAATAGTACCCGCAAAACACCAATCTCAACGTCAACAGTGAAGAGGCGACTCCGGGATGCTGACCTTCTAGGCAGAGTTGCAAAGAAAAAGCCATATCTCAGACTGGCCAATAAAAATAAAAGATTAAGATGGGCAAAAGAACACAGACACTGGACAGAGGAAGATTGGAAAAAGTGTTATGGACAGACAAATCGAAGTTTGAGGTGTTAGGATCACAAAGAATAACATTTATGAGACGCAGACCAAATGAAAAGATGCTGGAGGAGTGCTTGATGCCATCTGTCAAGCATGGTGGAGGCAATGTGATATGTGATGGCCTAGATCCTGGTTCGAATCCAGGCTCTGTCGCAGCCGGCCGTGACCGGGAGACTCATGGGCGGCGCACAATTGGCCCAGCATCGTCCAGGGTAGGGGAGGGAATGGCCGGCAGGGATGTAGCTCAGTTGATAGAGCATGGCGTTTGCAACGCCAGGGTTGTGGGTTCGATTCCCACGGGGGGTCAGTATAAAAAAAAAAAAATATGTATTCACTAACTGTAAGTCGCTCTGGATAAGAGCGTCTGCTAAATGACTAAAATGTAAATGATGGTCTGCGTTTGCTTCGGTGGTGGTAAAGTGGGAGATTTGTACAGGGTAAAAGGGATCTTGAAGAAGGAAGGCTATCACTCCATTTTGCAACGCCATGCCATACCCTGTGGACGGCACTTGATTGGAGCCAATTTCCTACTACAACAGGACAATGACCCAAAGCACAGCTCCAAACTATGCAATAACTATTTAGGGAAGAAGCAGTCAGCTGGTATTCTGTCTATAATGGAGTGGCCAGCACAGTCACCGGATCTCAACCCTATTGAGCTGTTGTGGGAGCAGCTTGACCGTATGGTACGTAAGAAGTGCCCATCAAGCCAATCCAACTTGTGGGAGGTGCTTCAGGAAGCATGGGGTGTAATCTCTTCAGATTACCTCAACAAATTGACAATTAGAATGTCAAAGGTCTGCAAGGCTGTAATTGCTGCAAATTGAGGATTTCTTGACAAAAGCTTTGAAGGACACAACTATTAGTTTGAAGGACACAACTATTATTTAAATTAAAAATCATTATTTCTAACCTTGTCAATGACTACATTTCCTATTCATTTTGCTATATTTCCTATTCAAACTCATTTCATGTATGTTTTCATGGAAAACAAGGACATTTCTAAGTGACCCCAAACATTTGAACGGTAGTCTACGTAATAAGTAGCCTACATTGAAAAAACAATACCCACCAGAGCTCTCACAATAAAACAACATTCAAGAAAGCAGGTTCAGGACAATTATGTATAAACATACAACAAATAAGCAATTATACGACTGAAGTATTATAGCTAAAGGATTTTACATGACATTTTAGCCATGTAGCAGACACTTATAAAGGGCGACAATACATATTTCAATACAATGCATAGTTCCCATTTCATCATCTAAAAACTACATAAAACACTGTGGATTACATGACAATGACGTTAAAAGTACATTACCAATCAATTGATCTTGTCAAAACATCAAATAGGTAGAATACTTAGTTGTCAGGCTCATATGGAACATATTCGACTACCCATTTTGCCCCTCCAAAGCAAAACACATTTGATGTTTAAATATTAGTCTATTGATGCACCCGTGCATCAATCTAAGTAACATACAAAAAAAATCCCTGTAAAAATCAGTCAATTTAAACTAGAGATATCCGTTTTTTTTCCTTGGCTATCTCGGCCTTCCGCATCTGCAGTGGAATGTGGCCGAGCTACAGCGGTGTTTGTCAGATCATGAGACAGTCCGAAAATTGGTCTTCTCATGAAAACGTCTCTAGCATCCGAACATTTTAGCCTACAAACTAATATGACCCCACTATGGAAAGGGGAGACTCTCACGAAGAGCGTCACACTAGTGTCACGGAACTCATATAACCCATGCAAATGAATGGAAGTATGGAGGTATTTTTGGGTTAAATAAAAAACAAAAATATTTCCTGAGTTTTCTTATATCTCCTAGATATAGGACAGACACTTCAAAACCTTATTCCTTATGATTTATTTTTTGACTGTCTTTTTTGCCTCTTATAAATATGTTATTTCAAGCGTTTCTATGGGATATAGTAGTAAAGACCAAATTCAATATTTTATAAAATATGTTTTTATATACCTAAAGGCGTCCTAAAATTCAAAATCAAATAGCTAAATGATCCATGGTATGACCATCTTAAAACAATTCCATATGTTAGCTTAGTAGAACCCACCCCCGAACGGCTTTTAGAGGTTAACAGTTGACACACATCACACAGGCAATCAAAGATTTCACATGTATTAACATGAATCATTACGGCTTGGAGACTTGCTTCTTGCCCTCTATTCAATCACATCAAAAAAAGCATTGAATAGTGTACTTTTTCTCACACCCAATATTTTACAGCGCTATCTCATATTAAAAAAGATTTTAAGAGCCCATTACGATCTCTCATTCTCTCTACAGGTCCTATGTACACCAGCGTATTCACTGACTCCATTAAGTCACCTACCAGTCCCAGTGCCTTCTCGAATGGTACAAATGGCCTCTCAAAAATGGTATGAAGCTTTTCATTTTTACATCACATAGCCTTTTCCTCTACATACGGAGATAGAAAACATTGCCCCATGTTTTTGATAACTGTGCTAGATTTATCAGTTGTATTTAGTAGTATACCGTTTAGAGACTATAGTGAGCATCAGTGGTGATCTCATACAATTATTTTCCTAATGAGTGATGGCTTTTAATATGAAAGCAATGCCATGGTGATAGGGTAGTACGTCTGAGACTAATCTCGGAACCCAGAACTATATCCACTGTGACCAGCTACTAGATTTATGTGAACATTCTGTCACACATGTGGTCCTCTGTAGCTCAGCTGGTAGAGCACGGCGCTTGTAACGCCAAGGTAGTGGGTTCGATCCCCAGGACCACCCATACACAAAAATGTATGCACGCATGACTGTAAGTCGCTTTGGATAAAAGCGTCTGCTAAATGGAATGTTATTATTATTATTATTATTAGAGTAGTCAGGTAGAGGCAGGTGTTGGAGATGACTGACTAACCACAGGACTGTGAGTCAACATGTGAGTTTCTGCCCAGTCACCAGAAGTCTGGGGAATGTTGCTCTTTCCAAGCAGCGCTTCCTCCAGCACAACTCCAGAGAGGGGTATCCTCTCATAGTGGCATCTGACTCATTGTTGTAACACACCCCTCTGTCTTAATCATGTACTTTCACATAGATGAGGCATTATGAGCACTCGGAACTGAAATCTGGTCCAAGCCAAGTTTCCAACCAGCTCTGGAGTTCCTCATTCTTGTATATGAACAAAGACGGAAATAAACCTAGATTGACACTGAACATATGATGTAGATTACACTGTAGGTTATTGTCACACAGTACTTACTATTTTGTCATACATTACTTACATGTATGATACCTCATACAACTCAGTCAGTGAAAAAAACAGGCATTTAACAAAATGTTCTGTTTGGATACAGTGTGTTCCGGCCTGTCCTCTCCTGTCATGACAATACCTCTAGCTGTTTATGTAACATAAATCATATTCTGGAGAGGTGCACACTACAAATATTGTATGATTTTTCTGTTTCCCACTGCCCTCTGCCAATTAGACAAGTCAATAGTTATCAATAACAATAGATTGATTAAATGCAGTACATTTTTACATTTTAGTCATTTAGCGGACGCTCTTATCCAGAGCGACTTGCAGTTAGTGAGTGCATACATTTTTCATACTGGCCCCCCGTGGGAAACGAACCCACAACCCTGGCGTTGCAAGCGCCATGCTCTACCAACTGAGCTACAGGGGACTACAGTACACAATATTTATCTTCACTCACAGTGGGCCTTGTGTATTAAGATTTTGGAATGAAGTTGAAACTGCTACATTTACATTTTAGTCATTTAGCAGATGCTCTTATCCAGAGCAATTAGGGTTAAGTGTCTTGCTCAAGGGCACATCAATAGATGTATTTATTATTCACCTCAGGGAGGTGGATTCAAACCAGTGACCTTTTGGTTACTGGCCAAAAGCTCTTAACCGCTAGGCTACCTGCCGCCCGGTGCTGGTGAAAGCGTTGCAATATTCCTGATTCCAAAGTGTCTGCTAGCATTTACTAAAATGATTTTGTCCTGCAGCTCAGCCACGAGCAGAGCACCAAGCAAAGGGTACTGTCCTTCAAGGGATCTACAGCCCAGAGAAAAATGAGCAGCTCCAGCCAGTGGGAGAGACGATTACCTCTCAGCCCCACCGTAGCCAGGGGTCAGCGCAACAGCAGCCGCAGTGTGCCTGACCTGGACCCCTTCCACACCACTACACAGCGTCCTGCCCTGGCTCCGGCCCCCACCCGGCAGCTCCAATCCAACAGGTCCAGCTTCTTCCTTACTGAGAGGGGCAACAGCCAGTTCATCTCCAACTGCAACGGCCCCTCTCAGGTCATCGTCAACGGCAACGGGGTGCAGAAAAGGCAGAGCCAGTGGATTGGTACGCCTCAGACGAAAAGCAGCAGCCAAGCTCGTATTGAGAGGGCACCCTGGAACCCCTCCATGGCTGAGCCCAAGATATCAGTGGTCGAGAGCAAGATTGAAGCAGGGTGAGTGGAATGAGTGAATGTGAGATATTGTGTAAATGCTGCTTTGGGGTTTGATGATGAGTTGCCTTTCAAATGTTTCTGAACAGCTGTTGATACACTATATATACAACAGTATGTGGACACCCCTTCAAATTAGTGGATTTGGCTATTTCAGCCACACCCATTGCTGACAGGTGTATAAAATCACGCACACAGCAATGCAATCTCCATAGACAAACATTGGCAGTAGAATGGCCTTATTGAAGAGCTCATTGACTTTCAACGTGGCACCGTCATAGGATGCCAACTTTCCAACAAGTCAGTTCATCAAATTTCTGCCCTGCTAGAGCTGCCCCGGTCAACTGTAAGAGCTGTTACTGTGAAGTGGAAACGTCTAGGAGCAACTACGGCTCAGCTGCAACGTGGTAGGCCACACAAGTTCACAGAACGGGACCACCAAGTGCTGGAGCGTGTAGAACGTAAAAATCGTCTGTTCCCAGTTGCAAAACTCGAGTTCCAAACTACAACGTAAGCACAATAACTGTTCGTCGGGAGCATCATGAAATGGGTTTCCATGGCCAAGCAGCCGCACACAAACCTAAGATCACAATGCGCAATGCCAAGCATTGGCTGGAGGAGTGTAAAGCTCACCACCATTGTTCTCTGGAGTGATGAATCACATTTCACCATCAGGCAGTCAGACGGACGAATCTGGGTTTGGCAGATGCCAGGAGAACGCTACCTGCCCCAATGCATAGTGCCAGCTGTAAAGTTTGGTGGAGGATGAATAATGGTCTGGGGCTGTTTTTCATGGTTTGGGCTAGGCCCCTTAGTTCCAGTGAAGGAAAATCTTAACGCTACAGCATACAATTACATTCTAGATGATTCTGTGCTTCCAACTTTTTGGGGAAGGCCCTTTCCTATTTCAGCATGACAATGCCCCAGTGCACAAAGCGAGATCCATACAGAAATGGTTTGTCGAGATCGGTGTGGAAGAACTTGACTGGCCTGCACAGAGCCCTGACCTCAATCCCATCGAACACCTTTGGGTTGAATTGGAACGCCGACTGCGAGCCAGGCCTAATCGCCCAACATCAGTGCCCGACCTCACTAATGCAGGTAGCGTTCTCCTGGCATCCGCCAAACCCAGATTAATCCGTTGGAATGGAAGCAAGTCCCCGCAGCAATGTTCCAACATATAGTGGAAAGCCTTCCCAGAAGAGTGGAGGCTGTTATAGCAGCAAGGGGGGGACCATCTCCATATTAATGCCCATGATTTTGGAATGAGATGTTTTACGAGCAGGTGTCCACATACTTTTGGTCATGTAGTGTACCTATATGGGGTTTCCCAACAGGATGAATGATAATGGTCAGCTCGCTGATATTACCATGGCGGAGGCAGTGCAGTACCTGTCCAGTGGAGATGAGAACTACCAGCACTGTGGCGCCTCATTCATCCAACACTCTACCTACTCAGAGGACAAGGCCAAGCAGGAGGTGAGGACACAGATGTGGGTCTCTAGGACCCGGACTAAACAACACTGTCCTGTTAGGACGTCTAACAGCTTTACCTGTCTCTCAGGTGTTGCGGCTCAAAGGGATCCCTCCTCTGGTGAACCTGCTGAGGAGTCCCAGTAACCAGGTCCAACAGACAGCCTCGGCCGCCCTGCGGAACCTGGCCTTTAAAGACGCGGGCAACAAGGAGGAGGTCCAGCGCTGTGGGGGCATCACTGAGGCCTTGGCCCTGCTCCGAGACACAGACTCTACCGAGACACAGAAACAACTCACAGGTACGGATGACTATTCTATTTCTATACACAACACTTCTCTGTCTAGTGACATCATAGACAGTTGACAGTTGGCAGACATGTGCACCAGTGTGTGAATGCAAGCGGGTATGAAAGGGAAACACGCTTGTGTTGCTTTCTGATGCCAAAATGTGCATATTGAAATTAAAGGGGCAATCTGCAGTTTCTACATCCATTTTTGGACTTATAAATTAATGTTATACCATTGATTCTTGAAGAATATAACTTATAAATGCGTCATTAGCTTGGTTCAACTGTCGTACTGCATCATAACCCAAAATTCACGCTTGTTTTACTCCAGTGTTTGTAAATAAAGTAAACAAGCACTATATAGCCTCAAAACATGGTTAAAACTATCAGTCCTTGCATACATAGATCTGTCTATTATTTTGAGAGTTATATTTTCCCAGCCCATCCCTCTGCTTTTTACCGAAACAGGGGCGGGGAGTGCACTTTGTTATTGTTTCAACTGCTCATTTCTGCTTTAAGTGCATTCATGCCTTAAAGCACAGGGAAAGACTCACTAAACCCTGTCACCTTAATCCTAATCAGTTCATGCTGTCAGTCACACAAATGTTCAATGGTGCTGTGTTGTGCCAGGGGAACTTGAAATGTGCGAGGACTCACAGTAGGCTGTTCTAGAGGATAGAGCAGCCTACTCTCACTATTGTTTTGTCTTCCTGAGGCCGTGCTCAATCAATTGGCTCTAATGTTATCAAATATTTACCCTGGTTCTTGATTAGCAACAGTACGTAGCTACAGTGTCTGTGCTGTACAGGGATGTAGAGAAGTGAAGCACTGAAACACCTCATATAGCTTGTCAACCCTGGTCCTGGAGACTCACAGGGATTGCGGGCTTTTATTCCCTCTCCTAGTTATGCTTTGGGAAGTACTTGCCATGCCCGTGTCATGGCAGTTTGATCAATGTGCACTGTGTGGCTATCCAGTATTGCTTTTGTTGACATTTTTGTTTTTGAGTTGAGCTGGCTGAGATCAATGATCATGTCACAGTAGTAGCATTAGCAGGCGTCAGTTATTTGAACAACTGTTGTTTCAACTGCCACTGGAGTCATTAGTTAATAACTTTGTCCTGTCGCTCCAGGCCTTCTTTGGAACCTGTCGTCTGCAGACAGTCTGAAGCCAGAGCTGGTGCGTAGCGCTCTGCCTGTTCTGACTGAGACTGTGGTAGTACCTTACACAGGAGGAGCAGATGAGACCAACAACAACGTGGACCCGGAGGTCTTCTACCATGCTACAGCATGTCTACGGTGAGACACATCAATAAGCACTGTAGACCAGGGGTGCACACTGCACAGATGTACTGCATACTAGCAGTTAGCCCGGAGGTCAGAAAGACAGACATATAGGAGTACCATCTATCCACTGCTGTTGCGCCTTTGAGCAAGGTAACCAAAATTGCTCCAGGGGCACTGCACTGACTGAACCTGTAGCCTATTCTAGACAACTTGTCGGTTTCTGTCTCAGAGGATTGGGTGAATGGCAGAATACAAACTCCTTCTGTCACAAATGGATGATAAAGTACTGTTTTGTTCTAATCTGTCAGACTACACAATGCTGACCTGCCTTTACCTGATGCATGACAAGACCAGTTTAACTTCATTTTCCCCGACTTTTCCAACAGAAATCTGAGCTGTGCAAAGCAAAGCAACAGGCAGGCCATGCGTAACTGTCAAGGCCTCATCGACTCTCTGGGCAGTTACGTCCAGGATTGTGTGGCTGCAGAGAGGCCAGATGACAAGGTGGGCATTCAACATGAAATATCTTCAAATAACATTGAAACAAGTGAGGATGCATTCATGGAATGCCATTCTTCAGAATTCCAAATAATAGAAAATCAAGTTCTATCTGCATGTGAAAATATAATGGGATACAGCTCCATTGCTTACATTTTTTACACTTTTTAACTTGGTGTTTGAAGAATCTTACTATGGACATGTGTATGGTATGGTAGGTACAGATTAATGCCAAATGAACCAAACCATTTATTTTGCCTCTGTCTGTGCCAGTCTGTGGAGAACTGTGTCTGTGTCCTGCACAACCTGAGCTTCCAGCTGGAGAGTGAGAACCCGGCCCTGTTCAGCCGGATCACTGCCCTGGCCGGGACCACCAGCAGGGCCAACGCCCCCACTGAGACCGGCCCCATTGGCTGCTTCAGCCCACAGAGCAGCAAGGTCCAGGAGCAGGAGGTGAGACAGGCATATAGGTCTAAGGAGGTCCAGGGAGAGAGGAGAGAGATGGGTGGATACTGTACATAGATACACTATGACATCATAATGTACAGTGAGGGAAAAAAGTATTTGATCCCCTGCTGATTTTGTACGTTTGCCCACTGACAAAGAAATGATCAGTCTATAATTTTAATGGTAGGTTTATTTGAACAGTGAGAGACAGAATAACAACAAAAAAATCCAGAAAAACGCATGTCAAAAATGTTATAAATTGATTAGCATTTTAATGAGGGAAATAATTATTTGACCCCCTCTCAATCAGAAAGATTTCTGGCTCCCAGGTGTCTTTTATACAGGTAACGAGCAGAGATTAGGAGCACACTCTTAAAGGGAGTGCTCCAAATCTCAGCTTGTTACCTGTATAAAAGACACCTGTCCACAGAAGCAATCAATCAATCAGATTCCAAACTCTCCACCATGGCCAAGACCAAAGAGCTCTCCAAGGATGTCAGGGACAAGATTGTAGACCTACACAAGGCTGGAATGGGCTACAAGACCATCGCCAAGCAGCTTGGTGAGAAGGTGACAACAAAGTTGGTGCGATTATTCGCAAATGGAAGAAACACAAAATAACTTTCAATCTCCCTTGGCCTGGGGCTCCATGCAAGATCTCACCTCGTGGAGTTGCAATGATCATGAGAACGGTGAGGAATCAGCCCAGAACTACACGGGAGGATCTTGTCAATGATCTCAAGGCAGCTGGGACCATAGTCACCAAGAAAACAATTGGTAACACACTATGCCGTGAAGGACTGAAATCCTGCAGCGCCCGCAAGGACCCCTGCTCAAGAAAGCACATAAACAGGGCCGTCTGAAGTTTGCCAATGAACATCTGATGATTCAGAGGAGAACTGGGTGAAAGTGTTGTGGTCAGATGAGACCAAAATGGAGCTCTTTGGCATCAACTCAACTCGCCGTGTTTGGAGGAGGAAGAATGCTGCCTATGACCCCAAGAACACCATCCCCCCGTCAAACATGGAGGTGGAAACATTATACTTTGGGGGTGTTTTTCTGCTAAGGGGACAGGACAACTTCACCGCATCAAAGGGACGATGGACGGGGCCATGTACCGTCAAATCTTGGGTGAGAACCTCCTTCCCTCAGCCAGGGCATTGAAAATGAGTCGTGGATGGGTATTCCAGCATGACAATGACCCAAAACACACGGCCAAGGCAACAAAGGAGTGGCTCAAGAAGAAGCACATTAAGGTCCTGGAGTGGCCTAGCCAGTCTCCAGACTTTAATCCCATAGAAAATCTGTGGAGGGAGCTGAAGGTTCGAGTTGCCAAACGTCAGCCTTGAAACCTTAATGACTTGGAGAAGATCTGCAAAGAGGAGTGGGACAAAATCCCTCCTGAGATGTGTGCAAACCTGGTGGCCAACTACAAGAAACATCTGACCTCTGTGATTGCCAACAAGGGTTTTGCCACCAAGTACTAAGTCATGTTTTGCAGAGGGGTCAAATACTTATTTCCCTCATTAAAATGCAAATCAATTTATAACATTTTTGACATGCGTTTTTCTGGATTTTTTTGTTGTTATTCTGTCTCTCACTGTTCAAATAAACCTACCATTAAAATTATAGACTGATCATTTCTTTGTCAGTGGGCAAACGTACAAAATCTGCAGGCGATCAAATACTTTTTTCTCTCACTGTACTGCACAGTATTGAATGTTTTAAAACACTTACAATAATTACACATAGCAATTTTGTGTAGATCAACTGCCATCATAGATTTGAAAAAATATGCACCTAAAAAAAAATCTGATGATTGATAATAACTTTCACCCCTGTAGAGTCACTTTGACTACCCTGTGTTGGAGCAGCAATACCCTACAGGAGCAGGCTGGCTCTTCCACTCCAAGACCATGCAGAGTTACCTGTCTCTGCTGGGGTCCAGCCAGAGAGAAGACACCCTGGAGGCCTGCTGTGGAGCCCTGCAGAACCTCACCGCTAACCAAGGCATTGTACGAACAACACAGCATTTTGACTATTTATTTCATTATTTATTTTCACACAAAAATTATTTTAAATGCACAAAATGTATAGAGAAAAACATGTACCAAATGTGTGTAGAAAAACAACAATTAAAATCATGGTCCCACTTAACCCTTCATAGATCCGTTATAAGACCTTAATCTCTGTGTTCACAGGTTTCTAGTGTGATGAGCCAGAGCATAGTACAGAAGCTGAACGGCCTGCCTCACATCTCTCCCCTGCTGCAGTCCTCCAACTCCAGCCTCCAGAAGACTGCTGTGGCTCTGGTGGGAAATCTGGCCAAGAACCAACGCCTTCAGAGCATCATGGGTGAGCATGGACACCAATCTTAACCCCGTTCATAGCGAAATGGATGGAACCTAGAATGTTAGGCTACCTTGTTTCAATAATGGTGTAGTTTGCGTTGAGAACAACACTTCATAGAGTGCGTTGGCAGGAGGTTAATTACCTAATGGTATGTGTCTTGAAGCCCGACAGACCCTCCCAGAGCTGGTTGGCATCGTCAGCTCATGGACCAAGGAAGGGACAGAGTCTGACGACACTCTGGCCATGGTGTGCCAAACCAGCCACAGCCTTCTGATGAAGGAGCCTGAGCTGGGGAAACGCCTACTGAGCAACAACCTGGTCAACTCACTCAACGACCTGAGCAAGAACAAGTAAGGCCTGCTCATTATGTTTTATTACAAAAAAGTACAAAATCTGCTCTATGTTAAGAAAACATTTGGAAAATTTAACAATTGTGGGCAGCCTCTTTGGGGCCTTTCCAAAGAAGCCAGATAACAGAGCTTTGACTTTGAGGGTAATGGCTCAGAATACTAAAGCCTTACAGGGATTGTTTTTTTCCCTTAGTAGGCTTTTCCCAAAGGCCAGCAAAGCTGCAGGTGTGCTCCTCTACAGCCTCTGGTCAGAGAAGGACATACAGAGTTTCCTAAAAAAGGTAGGAATTTAGAGCCGATATTTCAAACAAATTCTGTCATAGTAATATGGGATATCCCTGTTGCAGATATTTTCCTTTTTTTCGACTATGCATTTTATCTATCAGTTTACGCTTCAATGCATTTGAAAAATGACAGCGAAGACAACGTTATTAGGTTGCAGAGTTTTTGCAATGGAGGCAATAGCTCTTGTAGGAAAGGAGGATCCGAATAGGCTGGCTCAGTCAGAACAAAGACAGGTATCTTTATGATCATTCATCACCCCTTCCTTCCCCAGAGGAGGATGACTCAGTGTGTCTGGCTGATGTTGTCTCTACTTGCTGTTTCTATAGCTGTAGAGATCCCTGGTATCTGTCTATACTGGGCGAAGTGTGCTATTTGTTTCCTCAGTAGTAAGAACCTAGTCCACGCCCCGGTCAGGTATTTGTTTACAACAGTGGAGGATGGAGGGAGGGATTATGTTCTGTCTGGTGGGAGAATACAGTATACAGTACACCTGAACAATGGTATGTACACAGGAGCTGTAGTGCTGCTGCAATGGTACAGCCAAGGAATCTAAGGATACAGGTTCACACGACTGTGTTAGACTCTTATCTGTACACGCAGGACATCTTATCCCTTGTCTTTTAATGCTTACCTGATACTGAACATAGTTTTGTCTAGATCTCTTCCCTCAGTTACTTGACATTTCAGTTTCACTTAGTGAGAAACATGCTGTAAGCTAGGAACTGTTACCATGACATTATTTAGGAAAACAATCAGTATCAAGGGGTGGATTCTAATGTCTATTTCATAATTTGTCCTACAGCAAGGGATGAATAAGGGTTCCTTTGTGAACGACATCACCAGCGTGGCTCACAGGTCTGTGCAGGTCATTGAGTAACAAGAAGACAGCTGGCATGGATCTCACATCACCTCCTCCCAATGTACTTATGAACTATACACCTACTACAGTACATGTAAGTCGCTCTGGATAAGAGCATCTGCTAAATGACTTAAATGTAAATTTAAAAATGTCAGACTAAGTCCAGTTAATATGGTTACTAATGTTTACTTTAGATTTCAAAACACCTTATAGTTAGTCAGATTGTCTATCTGTTATGTTAAGTTGTGTTATCCATCTTAAGTCAGTATAAAGGTTTGTAATCTTGTATTTCTGGGGGTTTTCTGGGCTCTTTTGTGTTTACTATAAATAATTTGTTTTTCTTTTGCACTGTAGACATGTAGATTTTGTGTTGGTAATGCCTGGGATTGCTTGAATAGGCCCCCTTAGCTTGGATGAAAATTATGGTTGATTACCCAAAAGCTACTGAAGGCTACTGAAATGATCAGATGTTGTAACTCATTTCCTTAGATTTATTTAGCCAGAATAGTCCACTCAGTAACAATTGCCACTTTTTCCAGGGATTCCTGGGTTCCATAGAATCAATTAAAACATACACAAAGCTCATCACAAAACTTAAATATTGTGATTGTCACCCATGTTTAACCTTGGGTAACTACTGTGTTCTTCTGTATAGTACTGCCATACTGTACGCATGTTTGCTACATTTATGCTTTTGTCCATGCCTGTATGTTTTAGATCTCCCAATATATATTGTTATTTTTTAATTGTTGTCCATAAAATACTGTAAAAACACCAGCAAATCAGCTCCAAGTGATTTTAATTTTGGAAATCTGTTCCAAAGTATTTCCATGAATAATAGAGAGACATATAGTATGTGATTGTATACAAATGTAAACAAGGTATGAAATTATTATGTTTTAGTGATATATTATATCTGTTTGGTCTTCTTGCGGTCAATTTGCAGTTTACAAATTATTCGTAATTACGTTCCGGCCCCCTGATCATCCGCTCAATGAAAAATCGCCCCACGGCTGAATTTAGGTGATGATCCCTGGGTTAGATCATTTTTGGTCACAACATTTTAGTCACCGCTGTGCATTTAAATTCAGAGGAGGTATTGTATGTATCGCCAAAGATAATTGCTGTTATTCTGTTTGTACTATCTCATTGGATAATGGATAAAGAATATTTTCAAAACATTTGTTTATGCTTGTTAGCTTTGTGTTTTTTCCCCCAAGTTCATGAGTTCTAAGATGATACCAGTAAATGGCCTTGCACGAGTCTTGGCTCATAGGAGCAGGAGCCTATATCCTGTTTCTGTAGCGGGATGCAGCTTGATGTACAAGGACACCCCCTGGACATGCACTAGTATATCACAGGGCCTTCTGATGTTACCAGTGCCAATGCTGTGTGAATGCATGCTTTACTTAACACAACTATAACGACCATTGGCAGAGGTAGGGCTGTGGCGGTCACGAAATGTTGTCAGCCGGTGATTGTCAAGCAAACAACTGTCGGTCTCACTGTAATTTACCGTTAATTAACATAAACACATAAACTCATTTAGCATCTCCTGGCTTCCACACATAGCCTACAAGCCATTTTAAAAAGTCGAATTAATCCATGAAATAATCTAATCAAATCGTATTTGCCACATGCACCGAATACAACAGGTGTAGACCTTACAGTGAAATGCTTACTTACTTAACCAACAATGCAGTTTTAAGAAGAAAAAAAAAGTGTTAAGTAAAAAATAGATAACAAAAAAATAACAATTAACAAATACAGTGAGAGAAAAAGTATTTGATCCCCTGCTGATTTTGTACATTTGCCCACTGACAAATAAGGTTTATTTGAACAGTGAGAGACAGAATAACAACAAAAAAATCCAGAAAAACGCATGCCAAAAATGTTATAAATTGATTTGCATTTTAATGAGGGAAATAAGTATTTGACCCCCTCTCAATCAGAAAGATTTCTGGCTCCCAGGTGTCTTTTATACAGGTAACGAGCTGAGATTAGGAGCACACTCTTAAAGGGAGTGCTCCTAATCTCAGTTTGTTACCTGTATAAAAGACACCTGTCCACAGAAGCAATCAATCAATCAGATTTCAAACTCTCCACCATGGCCAAGACCAAAGAGCTCTCCAAGGATGTCAGGGACAAGATTGTAGACCTACACAAGGCTGGAATGGGCTACAAGACCATCGCCAAGCAGCTTGGTGAGAAGGTGACAACAGTTGGTGCGATTATTCGCAAATGGAAGAAACACAAAAGAACTGTCAATCTCCCTCGGCCTGGGGCTCCATGCAAGATCTCACCTCGTGGAGTTGCAATGATCATGATAATGGTGAGGAATCAGCCCAGAACTACACAGGAGGATCTTGTCAATGATCTCAAGGCAGCTGGGACCATAGTCACCAAGAAAACAATTGGTAACACACTACGCCATGAAGGACTGAAATCCTGCAGCGCCCGCAAGGTCCCCCTGCTCAAGAAAGCACATATACATGCCCGTCTGAAGTTTGACAATGAACATCTGAATGATTCAGAGGAGAACTGGGTGAAAGTGTTGTGGTCAGATGAGACCAAAATCAAGCTCTTTGGCATCAACTCAACTCGCCGTGTTAGAAGGAGGAAGAATGCTGCCTATGACCCCAAGAACACCATCCCCACCGTCAAACATGGAGGTGGAAACATTATGCTTTGGGGGTGTTTTTCTGCTCAGGGGACAGGACAACTTCACCGCATCAAAGGGACGATGGACGGGGCCATGTACCGTCAAATCTTGGGTAGGAACCTCCTACCCACAGCCAGGGCATTGAAAATTAGTCGTGGATGGGTATTCCAGCATGACAATGACCCAAAACACACGGCCAAGGCAACAAAGGAGTGGCTCAAGAAGAAGCACATTAAGGTCCTGGAGTGGCCTAGCCAGTCTCCAGACCTTAATCCCATAGAAAATCTGTGGAGGGAGCTGAAGGTTTGAGTTGCCAAACGTCAGGCTCGAAACCTTAATGACTTGGAGAAGATCTGCAAAGAGGAGTGGGACAAAATCCCTCCTGAGATGTGTGTAAACCTGGTGGCCAACTACAAGAAATGTCTGACCTCTGTGATTGCCAACAAGGGTTTTGCCACCAAGTACTAAGTCATGTTTTGCTGAGGGGTCAAATACTTATTTCCCACATTAAAATGGAAATAAATGTATAACATTTTTGACATGCGTTTTTCTGGATTTTTTTGTTGTTATTCTGTCTCTCACTGTTCAAATAAACCTACCATTAAAATGATAGACTGATCATTTCTTTGTCAGTGGGCAAACGTACACAATCAGCAGGGGATCAAATACTTTTTTCCCTCACTGTAATTAAAGAGCAGCAGTAAAATAACGGTAGCAAAGATAATATATAATATAGCCTACACCTTCACAATAAATCCATGATTTATCTTAGACTGGTCTAAAGAAGCATGATATGAAGAAAATGTCTATTTCAGAAGAAAATAATAGCATACTCTGAGTTACATACTCCTGATAGGTCCTGATGTGGCTATGCCAAATGGCTGTGGGCTACACTAGTTCATTTAGCAGACAATATTTGCTTATAATTCCGTGGCATTATTTTATATTATTTTATAGTATAAAGAATACAATTGAACAAAACACAAATATTTTCTCCAAACATTTGAGGGAGTGCACACATGCGGCTATTCTGTGTTGAGCGGTTAACAAAGAAATAGGTACTCCTATATGCTTAATTTAGAGTTATTAATGTAACTTTAGTTGTTCTACAAACGTTGGGCTATATGTTTAGATTTGTTATACATTTTAAGGCTGCATGATGAGACTAATGATGATTTGAAAAAAGTTGCTTGAAAGGCATGAGCTCTGCTTTGTGTTTTTGCGCAGGCTGTTGTTAGAAATTGCGTAATTCAAATCTGGTATTGGAATAAGAGAAAACATAATCAAGAGATATTAAAGCCAAGCTAAATTTATTATATGCAAAATGTATGTAGGATAAGTATGATGGTTCGTATACGGGCTCACTGAAATACCACGCAGGGCAGACAGAGAACTAATCCATTGTTATAGGTTCTTCTTCAAATACTCTGACAGAGATAGTTCCCACTCTCTGCTGGCCAATCAGAGTAGAGACTGAGCGTGGTTTAGACTTACTCAGCCAATCCGTTGGCGCCCCGCTGGTCCCAGCCCCTTGGCGCATCCCTGTTGCCAGGTGTCTAGTTGTTTTCATCACAACCTGTAGAATCAGCACCCAAAAAGACACCGTTCCACTATACTTCTAAGTACCTACGTTCAAGGACCGTTCACAGACAACAAAGAGACAGTGTTCCTATCTGTAAGAAATACAAGTCTTATCTGTAAGAAATACAAGTCTTATCTCATCCTACCCCCTAACGTTCCTCACATGAATCACAGCTTGTTATGTGAAACAATTAATATCAGTACAGTACAAACCTTTTATGCTTTAATCATTATTGCATTCTTTCTAAGTTAGTCATCCCATCTAGTTATGAGAAAATAAATCCTCACACTGTACACACTCCAATAGTCTTCCATTCACAATTTGACAAGCACTTGATAATGCCTCGAATTTCACGGCGGCATCCCCTTTGTGGCCTTAATGCACTCTAAAAAAATATTTTCTGAAGCGGCCTAGAGTGCTGCGTTGTGCCCTTCTCCCTGAGTGTGCTGCGCAATCCGAAGTGCCTCTCACTCACATGGCTCTCTGTCAGGTGATCAGGTCTTTCTCACAGGCTACAGAACAGACACATCGCGGATACAACTGCCTCATCCTTATCCAATTCCGAGGTGCATATTTACTTTTCGTCAGCCAACAAGATGAGTAGGCCTAATGAACAGCAAAAGCACTAGCCTATGTCAATCTAGTATCCCCCATAGTACAGAAGTCGACCTATTCTATTCTGTGCAATAAATAAATATTCCAAACATAGTCTGGGACAGTTGTGGGATGCGAAAGATCCCAAATTATTACAACCACTAGCATCAAAAAAACATTTTTATGCAATGTGGCTGACGCAACAGATCAGAACGTTTAGCTTAAAATGTTGATAAACTATTAGGCTATTTCTTCACATTATAAGCGCAGCAATACGCACATGGTAGTAGGCTATAAGTGCGAATGTTCCATTATCGGAAAACACCATTATCAAAAGTGACTGCAAATGCAATTATGCATGTAATGCGTTTATTATAAAGGTGTATTTTTATGGTGAAAATTATCTTCCCTAAACTTGAAACTCAAGTGCTGCTTATATATGCCAGTTAGGCTCTACACCCCATGTAAAGTGGATAAATGTGCTT